ATTCTTCTTACCACAATTGATAAAACAGGAAAACATAACTAGAAAAGGGAACTAATTTAGAACAGATGTCAGGGAAGAATTTTTCCAGTAGTGAACTATAAACATGTGGAATAAATACTGGAAAATGTATTATGGCAAAAAAACAGAATCAGTTACTAATTAAATGATCTAAATAGAAAATCGGATACCTAAATATGTAGAACAAGCATTTAAAAAATAACCCTAAATTAATGGAAAAACCATGTTTTTTACTATCTAAGCCTTCAATATAATAAATAAACCAGCAATCTGCTAAAATAAGGATACTTCCCAATGCCTATAAAGTCAGCTCTTATTTATTCATAAAGATGTATCCAACTATAAAACCTAATAAGTTTACAAACAAAAGTCTACTATATTCTTTCTGATTATTTGCCAATATTTTGTCAACTTAACACTATATGGTACTTTCCCTATGACCTGCCTTCTTAATATTTCACTTTCTCTATTTACTCACACTCTGAAAGGAGATATAAAGACTTGCAACCTCATCACCAAGCCTTCTCAGCAGAAAGTGGACAGACAGTTCTGTTTCAGCTGCTATACTTAAGAAGAAATGGTTTATATATCTAGAATGCAGGAAGGATTAGAAATGAAGTAAGAGCAAACAGAATCCATTCTGATGAAAGTCTGCTAATTTGTATGAAGTCAATTTGTGGCTCATCCATATTCAAATGAATGCACAAAAACAAATTCCAAAGCTAAATATAAAATGACTTTTGGCCTATCCAGGTTTCTGCTCATTTCTACTTCATGGACAGGAGAAGGCCAGGATACTGGCAGTATGTTAACTCTCTCAGGCCATCAGGATCTCACTCAATGGTAATACTTAATTTCCATGCAGGCCAAAGCACTTTAATATAATATTACTACTAAAAGCACATGTGTTATATACAAAACAGTTAATGAGCCTCCTGACCACAATAATCATGGAGTGACTTAGGAGATCAGGGCAGAGATGATTCACGATTCACAATATTTAACTGGCCTAAAATAGCATTCAATTTTAGAACCTGAAAGATGCTTAAAGATCATAAAGTGAGCCCAACACTACCATTGTACAGATGATGATGTTTAGGCCCTCAAAAAGATTAACTTACCCAAGGCAGGGCACCTTCATGGCAGCAAAGCCAGACCCATACCTCTGGGAAACAGTCTCATGTTCTTGTAACATACAGCATCTCACTCTTTAGGAATATGTTCAAGGAAGTGAACTGTACATGTGAGGCAATTTTTTTTCTCAGAGCTGGGACGATGGGAAAGGGTTATGCAGTTAGATATTCTAAAGAGGTATTTACTTCATCTGTTAATTCTAGTTAAAATGCAGATCTTATCTCATAGACATAAGTAATATCCTGTATTGATTTATCACACATGTGGAATAACTTTTCTCCCTCAAATTATTGAAGGCTTCCAGAGTTTACCAGTGATTAGGGAAAACATGACTAAGAAATAAACTATCTTTTTAACCACACTGTAAGCCTATTCCGACTGCTGTTATTATTAATGGATGGAAAAACATTATTTAATGAGATTTTTAAATATTGGCCCTTATACTATTAGTAATCTTTCCATCTCAAATTTTTACTTTTTTCTAAAATCTTCTACAACATAGAAAGTCTTTCCTGATCTATTATATTACTTCTTCCTTGTTAAAGTAAATTTGGATATTCAAAGTAACATGAGCTTCTATCTAAAAATTCTAACAAATGATAATTCCATAATCTTTTTGCCAAGTTTACCTCTGCATATAGTGTCATATAAATCTAAATATATTTTGGAAAAGAAAAGAAATTCAAGAATTTTTATATGTAATTGGTTGTACATGTATCTTATCAATATTCTAAACCTTAAGAAATTTTTCTGAAAGAAGTTGATATTAACATTTCCTAGCCTATAGCATCTAGTTCATCATTGAGAGAAAGCAGCATAAGAGAAAGTACAAATTTAGAGGGAAAGAGGTTAGAATAAGAGTCAAACCAAAAGTCTACCAGGAAAAAAAATCATAGCAAACCTTCCTACGCAGATTTAACAAGTACAAGCCAAACTGCCATTTCCTTGTATCACCACGCTGCTAGCTGTCTGGGCTTGTGGCAGGCACCTTGACAATGTTCAATCAGCAGGATCAAAAGCTGAAGTAAGACAACAAGTAACGTATGGTCTCATACATGTCCATTCATGCCAAGAATCTCCTAATCTATATAATTTGTTACTTATATTATGGTTGCTGTCTATATTCACATTAGATGAGGTAATATTTTATGGATATTTACTGTGTTGAACATTCTTAGGTGCCAAAGAAATTTCAGAGATGTGTGAGGCATGCTTTCAGAGCTTATAGTTAGACAAGGGAATAGACTGTGCAAGAGCACAAAAAGAAAGCAGTAAAATGAAAACTTTGTGAAAGACTAAAGCACAATCTGAGTTCACTTCTTGAGCTAGTTTTAGAGGAAGGGTAAGATTTCAATTAGTAGAAAAGAAGGGGGAGGAAAGAATGCCATAAAAAGGAAAACTATGAACAAATGTGGGAGGTTGAAAGGATCTTTGAAGAACAGTGAGAATGAATACGAGTTTCACTAGGACAGGGAAATTCTATGGAAATAAAAGAGGTCTTTGGGTTTGATTTTGGAGACAATATATAGCTGCTGAAGATTTTTAAGGCTGAGAGTGAAATAACAAAAACTATATTTTAGGAAGACTAATCTGGCAATGATAGAATTGATAAGAAAGGGATGGTATGCAAATAGATCGGATATAGAATTACTGTAATAATTACAGGTTCCTCAGCCAGGTCATCTTACATGTATAAATCAATGTCAGCTAAAGTTACTAAATTTTATAAATGTACCCTAAATATAGTATAGAACTTCTACAGTGATACTAGAAAACTTGGGTTTACACATAATTTTTTAACTTTTCCTTCCTATTTTCACCTTAGATAACTTCTGGCTCCAAATTTTCATTTCACTTTTCCTCACCTAATATTTGCATTAATAAGAATCATCATCTTTCTTTATATATTAGCAAAATCCACAACATTGTATGTCTTTGCTTCATCAGAAGAGCATTTAAAACAATGTTTAAAATCCAACTTCATTAAAACAATTGCTTTACATTACACACAATAAGTCTCCCCCAAATTTCATATTTTACTTTCCAAGAAACAGTACTTTCTTGCAGGCAGATTAGGCCTACAAATCCAAAACAAAATGACAGGTAATTATCTAGTGACTCTGTAATAGTTACTTTATAGAGTTTTTAACACATTGGCTGCCCTAAGTATCATGAAAGCAGAAACTATAACTGCTTTCTTTACTTTGTGTGTGTAAACTAAACCACACATGAATGTCCCTCTTCTAGAAAAAGGACTGAACCAGAAAAGTTTTCAAAATTTCCCAGATTATGGTAGTCCTATTTTATTTGATTTCCCAAAAGAAGAGATTTAATTGCAAAGCATTAAGTTTCACTTAATTTTGTTTAATTTTAAAAAGGTAATTTAGATTGCTGAAAGTCATAGCACATAAGCCTTACAGAATAGTATGCCTGATTTTTATAAATCAGACTTTTGAAAAGGTACAGAGCCAACAGATTTTAATTTGGAAAAAAAGAAATAGAGAAAAATTAATTCAATTTGGGTCACCTAAAGAACTACATATGTTTAGGGACCTAGGATTAAACAGAGGATGGTGTTCCAGAATGTTAGAGAGCTGTGGTGTCTCTTGCTTCCATGACTTTGTGTTTGTGTAAAAAAGTTGCCACTTAGTGAACACTGGAACCTCTCCAACGGTAAGTCCAGCTTCCTACAGAGAAGCACTGAGCCAGGAACAGTGGATTGGCTCAGGCCGGTCAGACAACAGCCCTCAGTCTAACATAGCCCAGGAACAGAGGTAGGTGACCTGATACTCAGGAAGGAAAGGATGCAAAGGAGGCAGAAGGTGGGAGAAGAGGGGAGGGGAAAGAACAGAATTAACCAAGAAACTCAAAGAGAGAAATGCTTTACCTGGAGATTCTCAGCCAGAGATGGAATTTTTTTAAACTTAAGGTAACAAGGATACTGGTTTAAAATGGTCTGAAAGACCCCAATTGGTATGAACAAACTTGGTTAGTAGCTTTATAATGACAATGAGTGGGCAAGACTTACCTTTTATATATTAACATTTAGAAAACGGAGTTTATTCAATAAATTTGTTGAAAGATGTCATGTTTCCTAAAAACTGTACCTAATTTTAGGGTTCCTGCTTACAGTGATTCCAATTCTGCATGAGATTTTAAATTGGAGGGGGAATGAGAGGGTGCAGAACACAAGATGAAATTTTACAGCATGGAAATAAAAGTATTTTTAAACCTTCTTGGGGGTGAAGAGTTAGGCAAGAAGTAATACGTGGAAACTGTCAAGTGCTTCTCTACACACCCACCCACCAGATACCATCGCAGCCGGCTGGGGGAGTCTCCCTCTTCTTGCCTGACAGCTTCACTTTCTTTGAGGTCTGGAGCTGGTGATCACACTGGCCCGTCATGGTATTTTCAGTTAACAAAGCAGTTACTCAACAGGGGAAAAAGCCACAAAGGAGCAGAGCAGCTGCTGCTGCACCCGTGATGCAAGTGCAGGATGAGCCCCGGGCCGCCACCGCCGCCTCGGCTCCTCCGTGACGTCCGGGAGGGGTATCCCCGGCTCTCAGGAAGTGGTGGCCGCGGGCAGCTCCGCCCCCACGCGACTCCGGCTGGCCGGGCTGCCGGGTGGCAGGACTGCTGGGCCTGCGGCCGGGCGGGCGGGGATCACCGTCCCTCCACCCCCTCCACACACTCACGCACGGGCGAGGACCGCGCGCCCCGCTCGGTCGCCCGCGCCACTGCTCCGCGCGGACTCCGCGCCCGCGCCTCGCCTTGCTCACTCCTCACAGCGCGCACGGGACGGAGGGCCGCCCGCGCCCCCCTCTCTCCCCGCGCTCACTGCCACTCACCCCAACCCCAGGCGCCGAGCCTGGCCCAGCGTCGCGGGTCACCAGACAGGGTCGAGCCGAGTCCAAGATGGCGACTCCGCCCCCGCCCCCTCCGCACTCCCGGCGGGGTCAGGGCGCCCCCTCGCGCGGCGCGCTCGCGCCCGAGGCCCAGCTAAAAATAGCCAGGCCCGACTATATTTGGTTCGGCCGGATCCCCGGGCGGCCGCGCGCGCCCGCCCGCCCCGCCCGCGCGCCCTGCCCGCCCCGCCCGCCCGCCCCGCGCGGCGCTGAATGGAGAAGGGGCGGGGGTGACCGAGGGGAACCTACTCCGCTATCTGCGGCGCGCGCCGGCGGCGGGGCCGGGCCAACCGCCGAATTTAGTAACATCGCCTGCGTCAATCACGCGCCTAGCGTGCGTCAGCGCCGCGCGGCTCCAGGTCCTGCTCCCCCCGCCAGCCTTTGAATGGATACAATGTAGCAGCGCCCTCCTTCCTTCCGAGACTGGATTGGAACCCGCGGCGGTGCTGAAGCTGGGTTCCTCTCTTCGCTGGGTCCACTTTCGGAGCCTCCTCCCACGGAGTTCTCCACATCGCCCTGTCTGAAGTGGAAGTGGAGGCGAAGAAAGACATACATGCTGTATTTACCTATACATAGTCCTGTTTTCAAGCTTCTAGACCTAGCCCGACCCGTCTTCTATTCTGAAACGTCCACAATTAATTCTCTGCTCTCTACCATGGAATCCCTTCTTCCCTCTCCCTACCCCTCACGCAGATTAGGACAAATCAAAGAAATTTTAAAAATCACACCTGATTCAAACGCACTACGTGGGAACCACGTCTGTCCACAGTTTCACTTATATGGTTTCTCCTCAAAAATTCATTTCTGAAAGAAATTACTTTCACTCAGCTGCCACCTTTGGAACTAAGAGTCTTTACCTCTGCTGAGTTTTTGTTTTTGTTTGCAGCAAGATATTCACACCTAAATTTATCATTTCCAGGAAGAAATTGCTCTGTCATACACGCAGTCGCCCAGGCTTTCAGGACACCATTTCAGGACAAATGTGTCCCGGGAGACCAGAGCAAATGCCCCAGCGAGGGACTGACTAATAAATCCTGTTGATTGATTTCGAAATGTTTAATTTGGGTGATGAGAGGGGCCCCAACTACGATCATCAAAAAGTGAAAGTGCGAGTTGAGAGCTCCATTTCTGACCGGGTGCTGGGGAGGAGGGATGGTTCGCGACAGTCAGACCCTCTCAGCTGTTCAACACGTGTGCGTTTGTTTTATACACATTAAGTAGTTTCTGCCGCAGCGCGCGTGTGGATGATGGATGTGCACTTCGTTGGGTTATAATATGTCCAGTCAGGAAACCCACACCGTAAGTGTAAAGAAATAAAACCCGTAGCCATCTGCATCCGTGTGCGAAACACGCACCCAGAAAATGATCGGGGTGGGGGGAGCGTGGGAGAAATTAGGCTGGGCGCAGAGGACCCGAGAGAAGTCAACAGCTTTGCATTGCTGGAGGAAAGCGCAGCTGCCCCTCAGGGAGTCTTCGGGCTGGTGCCAGACTGCTTTTGCACCGGCTGCCAGGTCACTCGGAGAAGCTGGCTGGCGGAGCCTTCCCTTTCGGAAGAGCTGTCCTCTCCCTTACCCCCTCGCCCTGGCTCCGTGCCTCGGGGCAGCCTCGGAGGCGCGCCAGCAGCACTCCTCCAACTCTACTCCACCCGAGCCTGACAGCTGGGCGGTCCCGCCTGACCCGCGGGAGGCGGCTGCACCCTCCCGCAGACGCGCGCCCCGCTGGCAGCGCCGCCGCGAAGGCGTTGGCAGCAGGGGTCCGAGAGGCCCCCGGGCTGGGGCGGGCGGCGCGGCGTAGTTTCCATTGTGCGGCCGTGCGAACGGCTGGGGAGCGCGCGCGCGCACACTCGAGCACACACACCCTCCCTCGCACACGCGGAACCGGCTGGGCCAGGGGAGGGAGGAGGAGGGTGACGTAGCGTCCCATGGCGTCACATTGACGTCTCGCATTCCAGGCACTCTATGGAGAGGCCGCTAGGGCTCCTGTGGCATAAATGACGTGCCGAGAGAGCAAGCGAACGCGCAGCCGGGAGAGCGGAGTCTCCTGCCTCCCGCCCCCCACCCCTCCAGCTCCTGCTCCTCCTCCGCTCCCCATACACAGACGCGCTCACACCCGCTCCCTCACTCGCACACACAGACACACGCGCGCACACACGCTCCACACACACACTCCACTCTCTCCCGCGCGCTCACACCCCTCTTGCCCTGCGCCCTCGCCGGTGCAGCGCGGCGCCGCAGCCGGCCGCCCCTCCCGGGCTCACTTTGCAACGCTGACGGCGCCGGCGGTGGCCGTGGAGGTGGGAACAGCGGCGGCATCCTCTCCGCTGGTCGCAGTCCGAGCCAGGACGCCTGCGGAACCTCCGAGCGGCGCTCTCCCATGAGTCGGGGTCGCAGCATCCCCCACCAGCCGCTCACCGCCTCTGGGAGCCGCTGGGCTTGCACACCGCAGCCCTTCCGGGACAGCAGCTGTGACTCCCCCCCAGTGCAGATTTCGGGACAGCTCTCTAGAAACTCGCTCTAAAGACGGAACCGCCACAGCACTCAAGTACGTATGAGATTCGCCCAGTTAATAAGGGGACTTGCTAAAAAGTTGGCTTGCTGGGAAGCGTCGCTCCCGAAATTGACAACTTTGAGCGTGGGGTTCCCTGCCCCCCACCTCGCCTCCCGGCTCCGGCTTTGCTCGCGGGGCAGCCGGTAGGTTCTGAGCTGAAACTTTTCCCCGGTGGCTGGCCCGCGGGGATCTCTGGAGCTCGTGGGATTCCTCCCCCCACTGGAAGAGGCGGAAAGCCTCTAACAAAGAGGAGGACCGGGATCTGTGCTGTAGCGGCTCCAGCGATGTAATTCAGGGTATTTCGGCTCTAGTTGTCATGGTAATGATGCTCTCGGCGGCGGCGGCGGCGGCGGCCACGGCAGGGAGTTGCATGCAGCTCCGGTGATGAACGGCAGCAATTTTCCTGCCTTTTAAGTAGGACTGGAAACAGGGGCTCTGGTGGGTCCGAGTGAATGTACCTAAGGGTGGCACCGAGCTGGTTCTCCGGAAGGAAGCTCGGGAGGGAAGGGGTCTGGGCAGTGGCCGCCGGAGTTTGCACCGGCGCTCGGAGGACCTCAGGAAAGAGAGCGTAATTGTAGGAATGTGGCTTATTGTATTGAAATGAGCCTGGGGCTCCGCTAGGCACGTCTGCCTGGCGTGGCCGACTTGCCGCCTTACGCTTTTCCCTCCGGAGGTACATCGGGTGTAATTGCCGACTCCCGCGCCCCGACACGCGTGGGGACGGCGTCCCTCTCCTCCAGACCTTGGCTCGGTGTGGGAAAGGCACGGCTTACTTTTCACTGACAGAACTCGCGCTTTTGGAGAAGTCGCTCCGACTGTTTTCCTCTCAGTAGAAATGAAAGTTCTCGGTCGTGAGAGGCGAGCGGTCAGGCGAGCGCAGCCTGCGGAGGTCGGCTTCCGAGGGCGCCTCTGGAGCCTGTTGGAAGCTTTGGGGCAGTCGCGAGGGAGGAAGCACGTGTCGCTTGATTTCCAAGAACGTTCTTGGAGATTGCCTTTTATGTGCGCCTCCAGATTGTCCAGAGGGAAATGCTGCGAGGACTTTAGTAATCAGAAATCTCGGGCTCTTATCCCAGGGCCTTAGAGTGCCGGGAGAGAGGTACAGGGCGCCGTTCAGTCATTCCATCGTCAATCTAATCCTGCATCGCCTTTTCCCACGACGAGGAAATGTTTTTTAGAACCCAGTTAGGGAAAGAAAAAAGCTGCCCAACGCGGCTCCTGGGCACAATGAATGAAGTTACTTTATTCGAGTAATTTCCTTGAACAAGATGCTTGCAATGGTGAATATCAAAGACTCCTCAGGCCACAGCAACCTCCACACCCGCTCCCTCCCCTGCGCCCACCCGCCCCCTTCCTGGGACCGTGCGCTCGCAGAAATTCTCCCCCGCGGTTTGTCTCGTCTTCCTCGGTCTTTCTGAGAACGTCTGTCTTTCCCTTTCTGTCGGTCTCTCCTCCACTCCTCCGGCCCCCACCCAGCCTCCGCCCCCGCTCCCCAGGGCTGGAAACTCCGCGGAGGTCACAATGGTGCGTTTCACGGTTTCCTCCACACACTTCACCACGGGGAGGGGAACACGGGGGTGTTCCTTTCGTCTGCCCACGAGAAAGAAAGGAGCTTTGACAGAGGTAGTTATTTCTTCCTAATTTACAACCCCAAGGCTCTGCGCTCCCCGCCCGGCGGCCGCGAGCAGGAGCGGCGGAACGTGTTTCCAGGCGCGGAGGCTTTGCCTAGGTAACCGGCCCTTTGAAGGGCAGAGAGAGCGGTGGGGCGCTCGGCTGGGCTGTAGGGAAGGCTGCGTGGCTCTCTCCCGCGAGCGCTGGGCGCTCGAGGGGAACCCCTTCCTTGGGAAGATGCGGTCCCCGCCCACCTGAGTTCAGAGGCCGCCCCTCGGAGAAAGATTCCGCTTGAAAGGCCTCTGGGGAGGAATGGGAATGAGAGCATCCACTGGAGGGGGGGTGCTGGAGACCCCCACTGAAGATGCGAGGGGACGGGAAGCACATGCCACAACCGTGGGAAGATCCGCTTGTGCCTGCGCTACCGCGAGCGCAAGCTTTCCGTCGGAGCAGCTCGGGCTGGAGCTGGGAGTGGCAAGGGAATCCCCCATTTGCTGCCTGTCGAGGGGTTCCTGGACCCGGGGCTCCGTGTCCCTTTCTCTCCTTCTGCAGGCAAGCCCGGGGCACTGGGGCGCCAGGAGACGGCCCCCGCGGCCAGCGCACCCGAGAGGTTTTTGTTTGGTTTGGTTTGAGGTTTTATCGGTCCCGGTTCCCACCCTTCGAGCTGTGCCCACCCTGGGCAAAGGGGGCGCTATAGGCCGGAGTTTGGGGCAGCCAGGTCCTTCTATTTCGCCCGAGGAGCGGCGCTTTCAGCTACAAAGTTTCGCTGGAGCTGTGCGCTGAGACATTCGCCCCGGAGCCGCACTCCGCGCCCTCCGGAATGTGCCCCCTCCGGGGCGCAGGGTGGCTTGAAGCCTGGAAGCGGCCCACCCTCGGGGACACCGCCCGCTGGGTAGAGAGGACCTGCCTCCGCCGGGCCCACCAGCCGCGAATGCAGCCTGCCTGTTCGTCTTGCTTCCAGCGCCGTCCTTTCCACTGTGCCCTTTTGTTTGCTTGACCCCTGGCCCCCGAAACTCGCGGCTAATAGAAGAGAAGCTCCATTAGCATTTAGAATGAAAAGCGCAGACTTTCTTAATTCCTCGGGGCATTCATGCATTCGTTCCGGACCTCGTGCATTTCCTATGCAACATGTAAAATTTGTATTTGAGGGGTGGGGGCGGGCAGAGTTGGAAAATGGCTATTTTCCGCTCGTGCTCGCTCACTGACACTCAGATTCGGGCGAAACTCGTTCCTCAAGTGTTCTCCTTTCTTCGGTTTTCTGAGCTCAGAGTCAGTTGTTGGGGCAGAAAGATCAATTTCGGGGAGACGACAGGCTGCGCGCTTTTTAGCCTCGGTTCGGGTGCCACAAAACCGCGCTGAGTGCGGACAACCTTCCCTCGGCTTCTCCAAGGCCGTGAGATGCTTCTTGCCCAGGAGGACTCTGATACCCTTAAGCATCCTTACCCTTAGTTCTTTGTAATTAACGTAGCATTTCTAGAGGCTTCCCACGAACGCCCCCCCCAACACAGACACACACACACAACCCAGGCTTCAGTAACCCAGCCTGGTCCTGCTGTGACCTCTGTCCTCTCTCCCCGTGCCTGCAGAGCCCACTGCGGAAGAGCGCAGCCCGGCAAGCCCGGGCCCTGAGCCTGGACCCTCAGCGGAGCCGGGCAGCGCTGCCGCCGCTTCGCCTCGCCGGACACCCCCGCCTCCTACACTCTCAGCCTCCGCTGGAGAGACCCCCAGCCCCACCATTCAGCGCGCAAGATACCCTCCAGGTAGGATTGAAGGCACCATTTCTTCTTCCCCCCGGGTGGGAGAAGTGGGTAGGGGAACCACACACCCAACGGTTAGCCTGGTGGACTTCCCAGTGCCAGGACAGTGACTGCTGGCCACGAATTTCACAGCACAGGTGGCTTCCTCACACGAAGCTCCTCTGTATACCACACCCTGTTGCTACTGAGGGGAGCAGCCAAATTAAATTAAGCACTACACTTCTCAAAATTATTTTTCCTAAGAAAAATGCAAATACACCAATAGATTTATACATTTTAATGTCTTTTGCTGTCCTTTTATATCCAGTGTATGCATTTAAGAGTTATGGAATCACTTAGAGCAACACTGAGCATTTTTGTTAGTATGAAACCAAAATCATTTGGGTGCAAAAGTTTGGATGATTGAACCTCAGAGGCAAAGAGAAAAGCATTTGAGCTGAAAACCAAGGAGTTAATTTGAGTTTGGCAAAAGTGGATTGCAGGTTTGGTTTGTTACCACCTCTTTAAGAATTTGCTAAAGGAATAATAGGTGCTGGACCTGAGTAGGCACCAGAGATAACATAATAGAATAATAGAATACAGCCCCAGCAAGCTTGTCTTCTAGTTAGAAACCTCAGAAAGACACAAAGAAGAGCAATAGGTAGGGATTGGCAGGGAACAATGACAGAAAAGACTGAGGGAGAAATCCTAGAGGTGCTGAAGGGAGGAGAATAGATGAGAGATCAGGCAGTGTTCTTTCTTTTAAATGATTGTTATTCATTTCATCCCAACCACTGGACAGCAAGATAAGTAAACCTTTAACTTCGAACTATTGAGTATGTTTTTAAGGCCCACTTGGGGAAATAAAAAGGTTTGAACTGGCCTCTCCTCCTCACTGCTTCTTCTAACAGGCCCTCATCACTTTTTTTCAAGTCAAGATTTCATCCCATACATGCATGACTCAATCAGATTTGGAAATGTGGGTAAGAGAAAGATGTCAAAGGAAATGTGAAATACTCACATCTCTATTAGTCACACCTTTTACACCATAGAATCCAAATAGGCGTTAAACACCTGCTTTTCCTTTGGCTCAGAAAAACCAACCACCAGAAACTGTCCATTTTATCCTTATGTTAAGGGTATAGGGTAAAGGGTAGCCATAAAGAAAGGAAAATAATTAGATAAATCATCCACTACATTTAATATCCACTGCATTTAATAAAATCCACTACATTTAATAATTCCCAGGGCCTTCTCACCCAGTTCAACCTCTTTGAACAGTTGTAAGCACCCTGGATACCAGTCACTTTGGGAGCTCAACATAGCTAAACTGGGAGAGAAACTAAGTCTATTCAGAAACTTCTTTCTCCTTTTCCAGGGGTACTAATTCTTCTGTCATAAGCAAATACCTAGACTAACTTACCTATTATGATAGATGTAAACTGTTGTCATAAAACAGCCACTGATATATTTCATTAGTCAGCATTGGAAATATATATTACTATATATACATATGTATGTATGTATTATAGCAAAGAGCAGGTTTGGTGGGTGTTTTGTTGCAGCTGCTGATCTTTTTCTTTGCAGATGGTGTAAACTCCCCCGAGTCCATTTCCTGGACCTACATCCCCATCTCACCACCTAGCTGGCTGAAGTCATCAACAGGGGTCCACTTTGTGCAGGCTGCTGGCCCTGTTTGGAGGAGTGGGGAGGGGGTGGAAGACAGAGCCCACAACATGTGTGGGCAGCCTCAGTTGGCACTCATAAAATGTTAGAATGTCACTGTCTCCCTTAGCCAGTAAGTCTCTCATAGGATGCCTTTTTTGACTAACTCATAGGTCTACAAATCAATGTGTGTGGCTTAGGAGACCAATGGCCTCTTTCCCTCCAGAATAAACCAAACTGGCTTTCTCTTTGTCCTCCCAGATTGTGGCTGAGGAGGCCACTCCAATTAGTTTATAGGACTCAAAGCCACTTTTTAAAAACATCTCTGACCTTATGATAAAGGACATCAGGTTTCCCAGATCTGGTGTGGGACAGGGAAGGTGAGAAGATGGATACAGAGGTCCCCAGAAGGCCAGAGTTTTGCCATCCTGTGGCCCCTTTTTGTCTGTCAGGGATTGAGCTTTCTTCCTGCGGAGGAAGAAACTCTGTGTGGGGGACTCTGTGTCTATCTATCAAAAGGAAGAAAGGATGTCATTTCCTCTCTGTTTCCCAGATTAGGGAGCAACGAATCCAATGCTGTCTGTTAGCTAGGAAACTAGTGTTGACTTGCTTCTGAGAGATCCTTTTCCCTGTCCCTGCAGATATGCCCTGCGTGCAAGCCCAATATAGCCCTTCGCCTCCAGGTTCCAGTTATGCAGCGCAGACATACGGCTCGGAATACACCACGGAGATCATGAACCCCCCAGACTACACCAAGTTGACCATGGACCTCGGCAGCACCGAGATCACGGCCACAGCCACCACGTCTCTGCCCAGCTTCAGTACCTTCATGGAGGGCTACTCGAGCAGCTACGAACTCAAGCCCTCCTGTCTGTACCAAATGCAGCCGTCCGGGCCGCGGCCCTTGATCAAGATGGAGGAGGGGCGCGCGCACGGCTACCACCATCACCACCACCACCACCACCACCACCACCATCACCAGCAGCAGCAGCAGGCATCCATCCCTACCCCCTCTGGCCCGGAAGACGAGGTGCTGCCCAGCACCTCCATGTACTTCAAGCAGTCCCCGCCGTCCACCCCCACCACGCCAGGCTTCCCCCCGCAGGCGGGGGCGCTGTGGGACGACGCGCTGCCCTCGGCGCCCGGCTGCATCGCGCCCGGCCCGCTGCTGGACCCGCCGATGAAGGCGGTGCCCACAGTGGCCGGCACGCGCTTCCCGGTCTTCCACTTCAAGCCCTCGCCGCCGCACCCGCCCGCGCCTAGCCCCGCCGGCGGCCACCACCTGGGCTACGACCCGACGGCCGCCGCAGCGCTCAGCCTGCCGCTGGGAGCCGCCGCCGCCGCGGGCAGCCAGGCTGCTGCGCTTGAGGGCCACCCATACGGGCTGCCGCTGGCCAAGAGGGCGGCTGCTCTGGCCTTCCCGCCCCTCGGCCTCACGGCCTCGCCTACCGCGTCCAGCCTGCTGGGCGAGAGCCCCAGCTTGCCGTCGCCGCCCAACAGGAGCTCATCGTCTGGCGAGGGCACGTGCGCCGTGTGCGGGGACAACGCCGCCTGCCAACACTATGGTGTGCGCACCTGCGAGGGCTGCAAGGGCTTCTTCAAGGTGAGCGCACACGCCCGCCTCCTCCTGGTGCCCCTCTCCCCTCCCCAGCCAGCCCCCTCGCTGAAGGGAGGTTCTGAGGGGGGGGGGCGATCCTTGTCCTTCCTGGTTTGAGAGGCGTAATCGTTACACTCTGCGTTTCTGTACCCTCTCCTAGCAACCTCACACCCATAATCACCAGGGCTTTTCACTTGGGGTTCATGTACAGGAGGCCACCCCAGATGGACTTGAGGGGTCTGGGAACCTCCTGACCTGTCATTGCCTTGTGAGCATTTTTCTGGAGAGCTCTCAGCAGATTCTCAAAAGGATCTCTAACTTCAAAAATGCAAGCATTTTTTGCATTCCTTGTCTGTCCAGCCAGGGTGTCTGAATGGATAGGGTCTGCATGTCAGGTCCTGGACATTTGTGTCTCATTTAACCTTTACAATAAGAGATGGAACTCTAGAATCAGACCTGAGATTGAATTCTGGCCAGTCAGTGTCTTAAAGGTAGATATTATTTATTCTTGTTTGTAGATGAGGACATTGAGGCTTGGAGAGGTTTTTCAGTTGCCCCAGGACACACACGCGTAGAGTGAGATGGAGGCAAGGTGCCAGCTCCTGTTTGTGTGACCCTAAATTGCACACCCTTCTCATAACTCTGCAGCATTAGAATAAACAGGGGCAACTGACTTGCAGCCTAGGTCAGTTACCTCCATAGAAGATAGAAGTTGGGGTCTTACCAATCCACTCTATCCTCTAGAAACACTTCCCTATCTCTGTACCACACACAGTGCCAGGTGTAGACATCATTTTTTTCTCTCATAGGTATAAAGGAGAATTTTACAGTGGGAGGGCCATCAGTCTCCCTCATATTTTACCCATGAGGAAGCTGAAGCCTAGACAAGTGAGGTCTTGTGCAGGCTTGTGAAGTCTTGTGTAAGCAGTGATTTAGCTGCACAGGGGATGTTGCCAGCTGGTTTCTCCTGACCCCTGAGTTCAGTGTTCTTTCTACCATTTGGGGAGGAGGGAAGGGGAAAGGCCTTGCTCTCTTGCTGCTCCTCCTTTTGCTCTTGACTCCCGGACTTCTCCAGACACTTACTGCTGTACCATCCCCGTTCCCCATGCCCTTGGCCATTATTTCCGGCATTTGCAAAACTACACAAGTCACTCCTTATCCTCCAGTGCTGGGCAGAGTAGAGGTTTGGGGAGGCCAGTAGGATGTCCCTGAGAACATGCTGGAATTGGAGTAAGAAGACTGCAACAGGAGACCTTGATCTGTCACCTACCCATTGTATGATATTGGGCATAACAATTCTTTCTAGGCCTCAATTTCACTATCAATGAATATAAGGGCAGTGTATTAAATGAGATAAAAACATATATTAAAGGGCCATAAAACAATACTTTGTTATTAAATGAAACTACAGAGTACTTGTAAAAAGGTACATATTGTGGATGGGTCTACATAGCAACAAGCAACAGTTATTTTTGATCTACCGACAGTAATTGTGTCATTAATTGAAATCTACAGATAAATGAGAAAATGCTTATAGAAAGACTTTGCAATATGTTAAGTGGCCTACAGGTATGCAGGGTTATGATGTTTTAAATGCAGAATCTTAGCCCTTTTTTTTAGCCATTTAGTTTAGCCTTTTTTTTTTCTCTGTCTTTACTCAAGCTTTACCAGGGCTACTTTCAAGTAACTGCATTCTTTTAGCAGATTTTATTTTTATAGTATTTCAGTGGAAATGCTGAAGGGCAGTGAAACTGGCAGCAGAAAGAGGAAAAAGAAAGAAAAACAATTAAGAGAATTATGAATAATCCACAAATATAGTCAACCCTAAATAATTGAGAGTTGACCAGAATACTAGAGTGGTAATGCATTCTGAGTCTAGAAATGTCAATTAAGTGTCCCCCAACAGCTTCCCTTTTCTGCAGCAATCCCTTGAAAACAAATCTATACTTGAAAGGGTGGGGGCAGGATGGGGGAGAACCACCCCACAGATCTGTTAATTAAGGGAGCCAGAGCAGGTTTTACCCAGTGGCTTTCTACCATTAAATTGAATTCTTTAAAATTGTGACATGAAGTGCAGTTAATGATGGGAATTCGGTGATTGAACCATAACGATCTCTCCCTGTCCTTAAACTGTGCAGGCACACACGCATGTGAGGACGGCTTCAGGTTATTGGGAAAATGTATACCTGAAACAAAATGCCACCAGCACTCAAATTGGCATATAGCCTTGAGGATGATGGCAAGAAATAGAGTGTTAGAAATTACTGCATGTTCAATGAAAGAGAGCTTTATTCAGGAAACACACATTTCCTATCCTTACAGACTACTAAGAATTTAAATGCTGGAAACTCAGAAGTATGTTTGTGTTTTAGAATTTTGCATTTTAACTAAAATATACTAAAGCAGAGGAAATATGTCTTAGACTTGAGGTAGGCTGGCTTTGTTGTATTAAGTTTTATGTAAGCAATTTAGAAGCTGTCACCTAAAATGAAATTAAAACATGAAGATAGGGTAAAACTGAAACATGGAGGTTAAGGATGACTGAAAGTAAAGAAAAGGTTCAAAGTAAATCTAGACTTTTGGATACAAAATAGATCAAACAGCCCAAGTTACCTGGATTTTTTTTTTTTTTAATGCAGTCCAGGCTTCCCAAATAAATATCAACTTTGTGCTCTATGTTGAGTTGTATAGATCCAGGTAATTTCTGAACAGATTTACCCTAAGTGATAAAATAGATCCATTTTCACAAATGTTTTCAATTAAAAAAAAAAAACAAGCATTCTTTTAAATTTGGAACATAAAATATGTTTACTCTCTCCATGTGTCATTTCAAAATTATATGGATTCTGAAAAATATGTTATTTTTATATCCATGCCCAAGTTTTATATATCTTTTATAGTATGGTTATTTTTGTGTCTACATCAATAGTCATTTATGAAATTACCTATTAATGGGAAATTTCACTGAAACTATATAGCTTTCGTATTTCTTTCTGTCATTCTTTTTTGTACTTTGGGGTTTTTTTTTTTCTTTCTTTCTTTCTTGGATGTGATAGTGATTTTTAGGGTCCAATTTTATGGTGTGGCTGTCAAAAATATTCTTTAAAGATAAACTACAGAGGCTGATTAACTGAATTTCTTTTTTGCATTAAAACATCATTTCCTATATATTTTAACTAGACAAATCCTGATTTTGCTTTTTACAATTTCATCTGTATTGGGTAACAAAGCTAGTTACTGTGATATTTGACTTATAATAGTGATAGCAAACAAAGTACATCCCAGATAATTTTGATTTTATTTTAATAAGGTCAGCAATAATCAAGGGAGTAGAACAAGTAGAAAATTGTTCCCAAAGGAATATTAAAAGTGGAGATAATCTAATTCTCCAAGGTATGATATGTTGACCTGGTAATTTCAGATATGATTTTATCATTCAGAGTTGGGTGTCTCCTGAGACTTGCTTCAGAACAATCCGAGATGATTTTCATTGTCAGCAGCTAACACTAATAAAATTGTTTTTCCTGCAGGCTAGCGTGTTAGGAAATTAAATTTATCGAATTATACGAATTGCACTGTCGCTTTTCACATTGTAATTAAAATACATCTTGTCAGGTTCTACCTCTTTCCAGAAACTATTAGTTGACTATCTCTGTATTGTGTTTTCTCAGAGAACGGTGCAGAAAAATGCAAAATATGTTTGCCTGGCAAATAAAAACTGCCCAGTAGACAAGAGACGTCGAAACCGTTGTCAGTACTGTCGATTTCAGAAGTGTCTCAGTGTCGGAATGGTTAAAGAAGGTATGAATATAATGCTTTTTACCTGGTTTGTTTATATGTGTTCTCAGAAATCACTGGAAAAAAAATTAATATTTAGGTTGAGATAGTGAATTTTCCCAGTTCCTCTTTCCTTCAACGTTTTATTTTTATGGCATATGTTTACATTTAAAACTGAGGACTATTTATTCTAATTTCTCAAAATTAATAGAGAGATTAATTAAAAGATGTAATACATACATCTTTGTTCTATTGAAGAAAGAGACTTTTAGGGCTAATTCATTACCAAATGTAAGTATGGGGTTGCTTTTATGTTGCTTATTTCAACTCTCATTAAATCATTGTGTGAATATTATTCCAAACTATTGTCACTTTTACATGGTTGGTCTCAGTAATGATTGCTCAACTGTAATGTGTTTTGATTCCTTTGTGTTATTTATGGCTATTCATAACATAAACTTTGAAGATTGTTTTCTTTCTCTCTTTCGGCATCAGTTGTCCGTACAGACAGTCTGAAAGGGAGGAGAGGTCGCCTACCTTCCAAACCAAAGAGCCCATTACAACAGGAACCTTCTCAGCCCTCTCCACCTTCTCCTCCAATTTGTATGATGAATGCCCTTGTACGAGCTTTAACAGACTCAACACCCAGAGATCTTGATTATTCCAGAGTAAGTTTTATGATTTCCTGCTTCCAAACGAATGATCAGTGTCTCTATTCATGATACTAGTAATAAGAGTTGATAGAATGACTTTGTGCCTGGCACTGTGCTAGATAGTTTTCATGCCTTTTCTTTATTTCTCACTTCATTTAACAATTCAGTGTGCATCCATTGCTCCAAATAATTTTTGCCTTATTGAATCTCTAAATGCCTTAACAAATGACACTGACAGTGCTGCACCTGTCATACCCATTGTTGCAGGAATCCTGGTGGTTGTGCCAATGAAAATCTGCACAGGTGAACTACAATTTGTAGATTTCTCCCATCATCTAGACAAAATGACTACTGTCTTTTTCTTACTGTGATCAAACCATCTGGGTGAACCTCAAGTTATCCTTAAGTGGTTTATGCAAAGCACTGGCATTGATTGATCTGCTGCTTATTCAGAGGGATTATACCATTATGGAGAGGAGTGAGCTCTGGCCCTGACATCGGGAGATGTCAGGAGGACTGGGATAGGAAGGCCACCTCTGTTGCTTCCTGCCTGTGTCGCCTGGCTCCTGCTCTTGGCTTTCTCATTCCTACAGTGGAGATGATTACAATATTTAACCAGAGGGTGTTTTGAACATCAGTCACACAAGAATGATGGTTGTGAAAATGTTTTGAAAACCATAAATGATTATTGGTGTTGTTAAGTCAACCAAAACATATCAATATTTTTATTTCAGATGGGACATAGTAAAATCTCGTCAATTTGAACTCAGAAAAGTCCTCCAAAATTTGGATAACACAGAGAAGATCCATGAAAAAGGATTTTCTGAGCAAGTGTATAAACAATTCTGCAAGGCAGTTTTTTAAAGGACTTAGTAAAGCAAACTTCTAGGAAAATAGGGTCTCACTGAAGAGGGAAGGGATGGGAAAAGGATCACAATTATCGAGTAATTTCTACATGCTAGACACTGTGGTATATTGTCTCATTTAATCCTTTAAACCACCACAAACTTTAGGGATCTTAACTCAAACACAAGTAAACTTAGACACACAGATTGCACACAGGTGAAGAGATACCAGTCCAGGGGTCCCGAGTTGGTCGATCTGACTTGGCAGCTACTACCTTCCCAGGTCTAATCAGCATTTCAAGCTTCTGGTTGAATAGCTGGCAAAGTGTGAGTGTGTCTCTGCCACGTGCCCTCCTTTAGTTTGCAGTGTTGACAGAAATGATTGGCGTACCTGCTGTGATCCTCTCTCCCTCATCCCCAGCCTCATTATAGGCTGTGAAGCCTCCTCTTTGCACCTGATCACAAGACATCAAATGAGAAGCATGGTAGATCCTTAGCACCAAAGGTTGAGGACTCTTATTCTGATTACAAGTAGCATCTCTTGACTAAAGTCAAGTCTCAAATAATAGTATAATAGAATAATGCAGTGGTTAAGGGCTTAGGCTTTGTAATCATGCAGGCATAGATGAAAATCCCAACACCATCATTTACTACCAGGGTGACCTTAAGTAACTGATTAAACCTTTTAATGCCTCAGTTTCCTCATCTGTGTTATGGGGTAATAATAATATCTACTTCCTGGAGTTGTTTGTGAAGATTAAATATGATGATACTTGTCAAAGCATTAGCACAGTGCCGACCAAACTTTCTTACTGTGCCATTTGTTGAGTGTACTAATGAGTATGAACACTACACATGTCAAGTACCTGCAGCAACACCATTAAGATAAGTATTATGATCTCTATTTCGTAAATGAGGATTGAAACTCAGAGAGGCTAAAGGGCTGATTTGCCCAAGGTCACATAGTTAAATATGCATCAGGGATAGAATTAGGAGCCAAGTGCATTGGACTCAAAATCTGTGCTCCTAAATACCAACCTTCACTGCCTCTCTGGTTTCAATGAGAGAGGGTGCTAGAAAAGTATTCAGGAATGAAGATTTCTCCCTGAAGCACCCCTGGCCTCTCCTTATGTGATTTATCTGAATTAATGAAGCTTGTAGGCATTGCCTAGACTAAGGCTTGACCACACAATCTGACATGGTTCCAGGGCATTTGAAAGCACTATTGATGGCCAGTTCAGAGAATTTTAGGCCCCAAAAGTGATTTTTTTGGCCCCGAATTATCCAATTATCAGTCTACACAGCCTAATTAGTCATTCAATGGCAAACCCTCCCCAGCACTTTGAGTTGTCCCAGCTGGGAACTGTCTCCACACTGAAAAATCAATCCAGTGTGTTTGCTTGCCTCTGCACCATCCAGTCTGTTAGTCTAGAGTCCTCGTCCTCATCAACAAACATTTATCCAATTTAATTGTTAGCTTTGTCCAAAATAGCAGATTGACCATGCCAGAGTCTGGGTCACATTGATACTACCTTTGGGGCCTGGCTCAATTTTGCAAAGCATATTTATTTTAATTGCATTGTTTTGGAATCAGGTTGAACCTCATAGCTTGGATTCTCCTGCTTTTAGATAGCTTTACAAAATTATCAAAAATTGGACCCAAATCAACTAAATTAAAAGACTTTAAAAAAAATACAGTGAGTTTTCATCAAAAACTTGGATGAAGGCATAGGAGCATGCTGATCACATTTGCAGATGACAGAAAGCTGGGAGGGATCGCTAATATGATGGATGTCAGTATCAACATTCAGAATGATCTCGACAGGTTGGAACAGGAAGGGCTGAAACCATCACGAAGAAAGTTAACAAAAATAAATGTGAAGCTTAGCGTTTAGAATTTTAAAAAATGGGAGAGCCTTGGCTTGTCAGTGGTTCATGTTAAGAAAATCTCAGGAGTTTGTTCCACACACACTCGATATGAACCAACAAAGTATGTATGTAGTGGAAGAAAGGGATGCGGAATTACCCTAGGCTGCAGTAGTAGAAGCATGGGACCAGGACCAAGTAGGTGATGGTCCCATGGACTCTGTCCTGTCAGACCACACTTCAAGGATTGAGTCCACTTCCAAGCTGGGATTTAAGAGGGATATGGATACACTGTTTCTGGAAAGTTATAAGGGATGGTTGTGGGAAATAGAAATATGTAGACAAGAAGGAAGAAGATTTGGTAGGATTAGATCACTCTTTTGCCCTGGGGCAAAAGAATTATTACAACCAAGGACAGATCTGGGGGAGGAGGGGTGCTTCTTCCAGCTCACTCTGATGACAAGTCTTGGCCACACTACCTGTTGTGGAAGTATGAGTCCATCAGCACAAGAAGTAATTAAGGAGATCACGTAACAGGATTCCTCACAAGGGGAAAGGTTGTTTTGGATGACAGTTAAGTCCCTTCCAACTCTAAGATTTTATGATTCTGAGACCTTACTGTCCCTAAATGCAAGTGCTTATATACATATAAGAATATATGTTGTTAAGTAACTTGCCAGTTAACAAGATTGAACTTGCTTTGTTCTCTATCAAACATTAGCATAAAAAATGAATGAAACAAAATGAATGTATTGAATGTCTACTTTAAGCCAGGTACCATCACATATATTCTTGTTTTGTTTTGTTGATACACCATAGTTGTACATATTTTTGGGGGCACATATGATATTTTGATACATGTATACAATGTGTAATGTGTAATGACTAAATCAGGGTAATTGAGATATCTATCACCTCAAACATTTATTTTTCTTTGTGTTGGGAATATCACAATTCTGGTTATTTTTAAATATACAATAAATGGTTGTTAATTATACTTTCCCTACTATACTATCAAATACTAGAACCATCAAAAATTAGAAATTCTAACTGTATTTTTGTACCCGTTAACCAACTTCTCTTCACTCTCCCCTCCCCTCTTTCCTTCCCAGCCTCTGGCAACCACTAATCTACTCTCTGTCTTCATGAGATCCACTTTTGTGGCTTTCAAATGCTAGTGTGAATATACAATATTTGTCTTTCTCTGCCTGGCTGATTTCATTTAACATAATGACCGTGCATGTTGCTGCAAATGACAGGATTTCATTTCTTTTTTATGGCTGAATAATATTCCATTGTGTATATACCACATTTTCTTTATGCATCCATCCATTGATGGATACGTAGGTGGAGACCATATCTGGGCTATTGTGAATAGTGCTGCAATAAGCATGGGAGTACAAATATCACTTTGATATACTGATTTCATTTCTTTTGTGTATATACCCAGGCATGGGATTGCTGGGTCATATGGTAGTTTTAGCTGTAGATTTTTGAGACATCCCTATAATGGCTGTACTACTTTACATTCCCACCCGCAGTGTACGAGGGTTCCCCTTTCTCTGCACCTTTGCCAGCATTTGTTTGGTGGGTTTTTTTTTTTTTTTTGTCTTTTTGATAATAGCCATTGTAATTGAATTGAGATGATATCTCGTTGTGATTTGGATTTTCATTTCCCTGATTATTAGTAATGTTGTGCATTTTAAAATATACCTGTTGACCATTTGTATGTCTTCTTTAGAGAAATGTCTGTTTAGGTCTTTTGCCCATTTTTAACATGGGTTATTTGGGTTTTTGCTATTGAGTTGAGTTCCTTATATATTACTCCCTTGTTGGATGGATAGTTTGCAAATATTTTCTTCCATTCTGTAGGTTGTCTGTTCACTGTGTTTCCTTTGCAGAGTATTACATATATTCTTACATAATTTCACTTAAGTCTCCAGCTTTGTATGGTATAATTTATGGTTTGAATAATTTTTTAAGACAGTCTTTTGTTAAAATTCTATTTTCAAAATACTTTCCTCCTTAAAGTTTTATATTTACAAATTCGTAGAACTGAAGGTGACCTTGGGATCATCTAATCCCAACCCCCATATTTTAAATTAAGGTTTAAAGGGGTTAACTGGCTTGCCTAAGGTCAGTGGCAGAGCTAGAACAAGATCCAAATCTCATCACTCAAGGTAATATATTTCTATTTCATCATATTGCCACTTTTATTTAATGGCAATTTACTAGATTTTTTTTCTTTTTTATATATTTTATTTCTCTCTTTTTTCTTATTTAAAGTATGTGTTTTGCTAGATA